ATTTAAGAGTTAACGAAGTGTAAGTCTCATCTTCTCAATACTTGAGAAAATATCTTTTCAACTTAAACTATATGGAATATATCATGTTTATAATGTAAAAACAACATCATGATATGCATAAATTTGCCTTGTATTAATAAAATAGATAATGAATGTTGTTATTACATCAATTTGATTGATCTGTGGGCATAATACTAACAATCTCCCTCTTGCACTAAGACCAATAGACCATGTATCTAATACCCATCTTCTCAAGATGTCGATCTAGCTGTTGTTGTGTCAGTACTTTCGTAAATGGGTCTGCTAAATTATCCAATGAAGAAATTTTCTAGATACATACATAACCTCTTCCAATCATCCCTCTAATCAAGTGGTAATGCCACTAAATGTGCTTAGATTTCTGATGAGACCTAGGTTCCTTGGCTTTAGCTATTGCCCCATTGTCGGTATAGGTAACCCATTGGTAGCTTCATCTACATTCAGTGATGAACTTTTTGATCCAAATAGCTTGTTTGGTAGCTTCAAAAGCAACAACATACTCAGCCTCAGTAGTGGAATCCACTGATGTATCTTGTTTATAGCTCCTCCAACTAATTGCTCCACCATTTAAGATGGATAGAAATCCAAAAATGGATTTTCTATCATCTACATCAGATTGAAAATCTGAATCCGTATAACCATCTACTTGTAACTCTCCTCCTTCATAGACAAGAAATATATCCTTAGTCCTTCTCAAGTACTTAAGAATGTTCTTGACTGCATTCCAGTGTTCCCAAACCAAGATTAGACTAAATCAGCTCATAACACTTACAACATGACTAATATCAGCTCTTGTACATAGCATAACATACATGAGGCTTCCAATTGCAGAAGCATAAGGAACTCGACTCATGTTCTGTCTATCTTCTTGTGTCTTAGGACTCATGTCCTTAGAGAGATGAATTCCATGTCTAAAAGGTAAGAGCCCTTTCTTGGAATTCTGTAGGTTAAATCTTGTTAACACTTTATCTATGTACAAGGATTGGGATAAACCAAGCAGCCTTCTTGATCTATCTCTATAGACCTTTATACCCAGTATATAGGATGCTTCACCCAAATCCATAATGCAGAAGTTTTGTGAGAGTCAGAGTTTGACTGTTGAGAGCATACTTATGTCATTCCAAATGAGTAGTATGTATGAAGAATGTAAGAGCACTCCCGCTAACTTTTTTGTACACACAGGGTTCATCCATATTTTGGAGAAAACCAAACAATTTAATTGCCTTACCAAAATGGATATTTCAACTTGGGGACGCTTGCTTTAATCCATACATGGAGCTTTGCAACTTGCAGACTTTATGACTTTTGCCACTTGATTCAAAACCTTCTGGTTGTTCTATATATATTTCTTCCTCAATGTTTCCATTAAGGAAGGTGACTTTGACATCCATTTGCCATATCTCAAAGTCACAGTGTGTAGCTATGACAAACATAATCCTGATAGATTTTAGCATGGCGACTGGTGAAAAAGTTTCTTCATAGTCAACTCCTAGCCTTTGTTTGAAACCTATTTTCACAAGCTATGCTTTTAGGTTTATACCTTTCCATTCGAGCCTCTCTTCCTTTTGAAAGACCATTTACAGCCTACAAGTGCAATACCAGCATATCAACCAAGGTCCAGACTTGGTAGGAGTACATAGAATCCATTTCTGATTTCATTGCTTTGTGCCATTTTCTCGAATTGATGTCTGACATTGCCTCTATATAATTTCTAGGATTAGTACGATGATCATTATCATCAATTAAAAATTTCATATCACTTTGATGTAGATAACCATATCTAATAGATGGCGCAGATGCCCCAAAAGATTTATCTAGGGGCTGTGTATCTCTTAATTGGTTTTCCTCTCCTACATCCATTAGTTTCTAATCAATTATATTGTGCGTGACCCTGTAGGTTTAAGCATACCCAGTTCTAGGAATTAGATACTATCTCCAAGTAGTATCTCAAATTAAAACTCCTTTTAATTTAATTTGAATTAAAATTATTTTAATTCTCCCTTATATAATAAATATAATTTATTCTTTAGGCTTCTACTAATCATAAGTGACACCTAGCAGCATATAATAATCAACCCCCAGATTGCACAAAGTATGTAAAGAGAACCCATTCTGTATACAGTTGTCATATAATTCAATCATTCTATTATACAATGCTTCATTTGAATTACTAAGGCATGAATTTATTGTCAAACCTCTAATTTAATATTATGTGTTTGATCTTAGGAGTAACACTCTTAATGATCAATTAAAAACTCTTTCTAATTATCTTTCATCCTTGGCCAAGGACTGCATGAGCGATATCCAAGAAGATCATATAGGATGTACTTCCTTTTTTACTAAGAGTGATAGATTTCAGGTTGTACATTCATAAGTCTCCATATATGTCCAACTGTGCCTAACAATATGTAACACTCCATATGCAATATCCCATATCAATGGTCACACTTCGTGTACTTGTTCTCTAACAAGCACCCATACACTTACTTTAGTGTCTCTACACTAGAACATTCCCAATTACATCAACCTGATAGGTCTTGGGGCATACTACTAACAAAGATCTCAAGTTTACGATGCTTAACATGAAAGCCATAGCCAACTAGAATCATCAAGAAAACCACAATTCATAAATATAATATCTCATGTAAGCAGGTTGGCTGGTATAAATCTACACACTAAATATATCTGTTCCACCCTACCACAAACACAAACCAACCAATCAATCCCCATAGGGCCACAATGTTTTAGGAAGTTCGTATTTGATTCATCAGAATTGAATGCAACCATCCTAGGAATAGTATTCTAGCCCCTAGCCTTGAACCTACATGAAACAAACAGTGTGAATTCTCAGAAAATTGTAAGGAACCAAATAATTCCACTACACGTGATAGGAAACCTTCAAACCCCTCAAGATAAGAGAAATATCTAAACATGACAATATAAATGAGTTCAATCCACATTCCTCCCCCTTGAGAGAAACTTCAAAAGGTGAAGAGAAGAGAGAGACTCCTCCACCCATTTCTCGAGCTAACCCAATAGATCTTAAGGGAAAACAAGTGTCAGTGAGATGTGAGGACCTTGAGAAGCTCACCACCTCAATTAAGTTGGAAGTCCCAAGGGCTACCAAGGAGGTTAAGTCACCTAAAAAGTAGGTGAGGTGAGAGTATGGACCTAGGTGAAAAGTCATTCATTACATCTTATATATAGGTTCATGAATTGTAAACAAAATTTTGTTGTTGTTTTATTTACTTTGCTTTTGGTATATGAAAACCTAAAAAGATTTATTTTTCCTTTATCGTTGCATTTTGTGCATTTTTTTTTGTTTTTAGGTTATTAATGAAAAATTCAAAAACATTGAAAAAGGAAAAAAGTTTGGTAAATTACTATTTGATTGGGTCATAGTTTTTCCATCCTTAAGACAAAGTTGAAAAGTGCATTACTATGAGTCATATTAGGGGATAAAGATCTTAGTGGTTATAAGTCATAGTGCTTGACCCTTAAACCAAAGTTTCTTTCACCCTCGCATGCTTGTATTATGCAAGTCTTGAGAAATTTCATAAAACCAAATGGACACCCAACCATTCACCTTCATACTTAGTAGTTTTGCTAGTTTGAATGATTAATGACCTTAAACGACTCTAACTGCTGGTGATTGGAGGAAACATTGCTAAAGGTTAGTAAAACTCCAATCCCTTAAACGAGCCCAATGAGGCCAATTAAAAGGTGAGGCATAAATATAAATGGCCAGTGTCAATTGCACTTGAATTGTTGAGAGTACTATATGCTTAATGTCCTTGCTCACGTGTGAAGCTGAAAGAGTTAAAGCTAAACATGTTCAAAAGTATACCATGTAAAGCACAAAATTAACAATCATGCTAATTGAAGCCATAATGAGTAGAAGGGGTAAAAGATAGGGGGAGTTGTCTACAAGAAAAATGATCAGGATACTCACTAAGTGGCTATGTAATCACTTAGATGATGCATTAGGATTTCATGTAGAGCTTTATTAATGATTTGACCTAGGCAAAATTCATTGGTGTTAGAGTTTGATTTCACACACGTTACCCATGAATTGATCAAGATGAACACAGTCTGACACGTGTGAGTGAAATCAACCTAAGTGAAGGGAGATTGCTCTAGGATGCATGAAAATTGAGCTCAACATTCTTTAATATGCCTTAGAGTATTGTAATGAGATGATAAAATTTGGATGGAGCTGCATGTTTTGAACATATGTGATTTTCATTATTAATGACTTTGTGCATTTTAAAGTTAAATTTGAGAATTGCATTACACTTTTCATCCAATTTCATCCATGCATGTGCTTATAATTGTATTTAGGTTGTTCATATGCCCATGCATGATTTTGAAGCTATAGAAGTGATGCAAATCATAGAACAACTTCAAGGGATCTAGTTCAAATCCAAATTGGGCCGGTTAAGAGAGCACGAGCAAGGAAGTTTAAAGATGTACTCAAACGGACTAATTCAAGAGGCATGGACTCAAGCAAGTTTGTGGAGGCCCATTGAGCATGATCTATGTGAACAACAATGATTCATCAACATGATTCAAGTTCTAGAAGAATCTGGCCAAGGATAAGCTTAAATTGGCATGTGAAAGAATACTCCTTTTTTGGGTCTGATTGTAAGGCTTGCATGCCATTTACTTTTCTTTTATTTTTTTTGACTTTTATGGTCGTGTATGGCTAATAATACAACCATTTAAAGCTCCCCCACTTTCTTTTTTTTTTTTTTTTCTTTTTAAGGTAGTGATCAACCAATTAAAGGGCTGATTGTCTTTCTGTTTCTTCTTTTAGGCAAGTAAGAGTTATTTCTTTACCAGATTTTAACCTTAATTATGACAGCTATTTTAGGAATTTTCCTTGTAATGGCCAACCTTTTAAATAGGCGTCTAATCAATGAAAGGGGCAGATCATTATTCAGCAAATTGGAGAGTATTCTCTGTGGTTCTTTTAGGAACTATTCGAACTTATCGGGATTTCTTATGGTGTGTTCATCAGCGACTTATCAAATGGATTTTCAACATTATTTGGGGTGTACCCTTTATACCGAGGTTCTTGTTTCACAATACACAATGGGTTGAGGTCATATATACCAAAGTTTTAGTTTGTCGTAGTCGACGTCTATAATTCAATTCTGATAGTAGAACGATCTTGGGTTTCTTTTTTTGTTGTCGGATCTCGTTATTTTGGCGGAATTCACATCATTTGGTATCAGAGCATAGGTTCTAGTTCAATCTTGCCTATCTCCTAAAACCTTTCTTTTCTTTATTCTGTGTTCTTTTAGTTCCAAATTCGGTTCACATACCTTAGTTTAGCCGAATTTCCTTTACCTCATTCCGCATTTATTTTGTTGGTTCTAGTTTATTACGACATTTGATTCTGTTACTATCAAAAGATAGTTGCTGATCGTCAAAAAAAAAAAAAGAAGACAGAAAGGAGTCAAAAAAAAAAATTGTTTGTTTTCATCCATTTTGGTTCCAATAAGGCCAAAAATCATCTCACCCCAAAATCAAAAGTTATATTTTTTTTGGTGGAAATTTTGCTATTCTGTGCTTACAAAAACCTAATCAGCTGTGTTCCTTGTATTCGTTCTTTTAAAACCTAAAAATCCTTGATGAGTTCTTGGTGAATTGTTGTTGGAATTTTGAGAATTGATTGCTTAGTTTCAAAAGAACTGAAAGAGAATTATTGAATGGAAAAAGGCAAGAGTGGTGAGAACATTAGAGGGTTAAAAGTCACGTATTTTTGAGTGAAACACGAGTGTAGAATGATTCACATTCTTGAGTGTAAACATGTAAGGGAGAGAATTGTGAGGTCCTTTTCTTTTTTTTTTTTTATAACTTTTTTTGCAGCAATCATGTCTCACAAACAGTGCTAAGAACATGGCCGAAGATGCTACGGAACTGGCTGATCTGAAATTGTTTACGGAGGCCATGATGAATGAGATGAGGCATGTGATGAAGTTGGAATTGGAGCAGGTTCACAAACGGATAGATTAGATGGAGAATACATGTGAGAAGCAGCCACAAAACGTCCCAACTATGCGTAGAAGGGAAAGAGTTCAACTAAGGGAAGTGAGGGTTGAAGATTAAGTGCCTTATAGGGCTGGTTTTGTTGAAGAAGTTGATTGGGATTCTGTCGTTAGTAATAGGAAACACGGAGAGAGGTTTAGAGAAGCCAAGAATTGGGAAGATAATAACTTGGGTGGTATTAAGATGAGATTCCGTCATTTCAAGGTTGATTTGACCCTGAAGCATACCTTGAGTGGGAGAAGAAGATGGAGTTCGTATTTGACTACCACAACACTATTCTGAAGCAAAGAAGCTAAAATTAGCTGCAATTGAATTTTTTGACTACTTGGTGGGATCAGCATGTTATAAACAGAGGTCAAATAAAAAATGACCAATAGAGACATGGGAGGAGATGAAAACGATGATGAGAAAGTGGTTCGTTCCAAGTTATTACTACCAAGAGTTTTAGATAGGGGAAGCTGGAGCGTGGAGGATTACTACAAGGAGACGGAGATTGCTATGATTCGAGCTAATGTAGAGGAAGATCGAGAGGCTACAATGGCAAGGTTTTTACTTTGATTAAACCGGAAAATCCAAGATAATGTAGAGATGCTGCATTATGTGAAGTTGGAAGAGATGGTGAACATGGCCATCAAAGTGGAGCAACAACTGAAGAAGGGGTGGGTCACGTGCAGCCCATAACTCCAGTTCTACCTCTTGGAAACCTCGTTATACCAAGCAAACGGACAAGTCACAAACGTCCAAATCCGAGCCCAAGTCCACGAACACCAACCACGTTCCTCAAGGTAAAATAGACACTTCTACCTCTAGGAATTGTGACATTAAATGTTTTAAATGTCAAGGCAGGGGACACATAGCAAGTCAATGTCCTAACAAGTAGGTCATGGCATTGCTGGACAATGGTGAAATTGTGACCGACAATGAAGATTCTGAAATCGATGACATGCCACCTTTGGAGGACATTTCCGAGGAGGAATATTTAGCCCTTGATGCATTGACATTGGTGGTGACAAGAGCATAGCAAGCAAAAGAAGTTGATGAAGTGCAGCAAGAGAACATCTTTCACACTACGCGCTACGTCAAAGACAAGGTGTGTAGTGTGATTATTGATGGGGGTAGTTGTACTAATGCTGCAAGCACAATTACGATCGAAAAATTAGGACTACCCATGTTAAAGCACCCTATACGGTACAAGTTGCAATGGTTAAATGATAGTGGTGAGATAAGGGTGAACAACCAAGTGTTAGTTGCATTTTGAATTTGTAAATACGATGATTAAGTGTTGTGTGATGTAGTACCGATGCAAGTAGGACACTTATTGCTAGGGCATCCCTGGCAGTTTGATAGACATGTGAAGCATGATGGCTTTACGAACAAATACACTTTTGTGCTTAATCAACGATCAATCACTGTTGGTTCGAGCTTTAAACACTTGGCAACACTACCTATGGCCAAAGGAATTCGTGATTCACACCGATCATGAGTCCTTGAAACACTTGAAGGGGCCAGCACAAGCTAAATGAAAGGCATGCACGATGGGTGGAGTACATTGAGACGCTCCCATACATCATCCGGTATAAGCAAGATAAGGAGAATGTGGTCGCTGATGCACTTTCTCGCAGGTATGCATTACTCTCTACACTTGATGCAAAATTCCTTGGTTTTGAGCACATTAAAAATTTATACGCTGATGATCACGAATTTTGTGAGGAATACCAGGCTTGTGAGAAACTAGTTGTGGTAAGTTCTTTAGGCTTGATGGATTCCTATTTCGAGAGAACAAGTTATGCGTGCCTAATTGTTCCTTGAGGGAGTTAATGCAGGAATCTCATGGTGGGGGATTAACGGGACATTTTGGAGTTGCAAAGACTTTAGCTGTGTTGCAAGAACACTTCTATTGGCCTCACATGAAAAGAGATGTTGAGAGAATGTGGTAGATGTGTCACATGTAGGCAAGCTAAATCCAGAGTGCAGTCCAATGGTTTGCAAACTCCTTTACCAATTCCTAGTGAGCCATGGATTGATATTTCAATTGACCTTGTGTTAGGATTGCCTACGACTAAGCGTGGGATAGATT